ACTATCTATCCACACATTACCTCTCCTCTTTTATATACCAGCCTACCCTATATCTAGTAAGAAGTAGAACATTCGCCAAAGTACATGATAGTTCTAGAAACGTTGCGTCACAGTAGTCATGTGACTCGATGACGCAACAATATACACACACTGTGATTGTATTAAGTGTGATATTAATAAAGATTGTTCATTTCATAGTTCACTCTGTGTCCGCCATCTTTATTTCGTTCTTTCTCACGACTGAATTATTCAGCCATTCAGCATTATTCCTGGTATGGGTCTTAATCAAATCTTTTGTTATTCTGCAAATTTATCTCACTGCTCTTAATTAAATAAATTCAGTTTACCTAGATATACCGCATACAGATAGCCTTTTATGCAGCTTTGCATGAAAATTCTATAAGAGCACAACGTATTTGTCAAGAAATGTTAAGCGGAAAAGGGATTACTTCTATTGTATACTTTGGTCATTTTAAATTATTTAAAACTTTTGTGGTATTCTACAATGATATTGTTTTTTATATTTCTGCATACTTTTCTCAAAATCAGTATATTTGTTGTTCTATATGTATTAAGAAAATGGAAGTATGAAGCATACCAAAACAATAACATCATAGAAGTTAAGTTGAGTAAAAAACAAATTGAAGCGCACTGTAACTTCAAATTACAACTCATTTCTTATTAAAACTTTATTTTTCATCTAGGTTTCTAGCTGCAACCTCATTTGGTAGCTGGTTGCATGCTTGTTTGTTTGTTTAGAATGTTTGCTCAAACACAATGAGTATCTGCAGACTAACGTTCCTAATTCTAAGCTAATGGATTATAAGTAAGACAGCTAATCACCAGTATTCGCTGCCTATTTTTGGGCTACCTTTGTCTGACGGGAGAGTGGGATTAACCGTCACTCTTTTAGCACATCCAAGGACCCAAAGCATAGAACATGAACAAGTTTTTCTCAATAGTGGTGTGCGTGCCATGAATCCTCTCACAGTCATGTCCAGCCCCAACTTCTGTTTGTTTGTTTGTTCATTCTTAAGTGAAAAGCTTCATTGTGGGTTATCTGCAATATGCCCGCCCACAGGTGTTGAACTCACTAAATTACCAAAGTTCCGGTCACAGAAGGGCGCGCAGTTGCATTTGAAATAAACTTACCAAGGAAAAATAGAAGCTGAGAAAATGAACAACAACAACAACAAAAAAAAAACAACAAAAAACAATCAAAATATCCTTTTTGAAATATGGTAACCTCGTTTTCAGCTATTTTATTATATTAAGTTGATTTATTTTATAATATTAACGTATATATTTTTAAAGCAACAGTCTTATTCTTTGGTAAGTATACTACAAATTGCTTTCGTAAACTTTTGTTAATTAAAAAGTATTTAACTTTTATTTTAATTCTTTTATGTACAGAAATTTTTATGATGATAATTTTCAGGCGATGTAGACAACAAAAGGTCATTAATGACATCTTGAAGTTTATTTTCCGTATATCAAAAATATTTAATTGACATTCTTTAACTTTTCATCCTTCGCCAAATAGTATGTAGAATGCCATGCGAAATTTAGTTCTTAAGCGATAGACTCGAGAGTTAAGAGTGTGAGGTTACGTATCTATGGAAGAGAATTGAAGTTTAATATTCTCGTTCCAGCAGTGGTGTTTCAAATTTTAAAATATTAACTTATGTGTACGCGTATCTATTAACATGACTTTTATAGAGGTAAAAGGTTGTTGTTGTTTATTTTTTTCATATAAAGTACTACGAATATCTAATAGTAATTAAGTAAAACGAAAATACTTAATGCTGATATTAGTAATAGTTACAGTAAACACTAGTAGTAACACTAATAGTACTATATAACAGTTTATGAATTTTAAATTACACAGTTATTGAGCTGATAACTAGGTTAGGCTTAACGTTAATATACTTTATAATTTTTGAATAGTATTTTTTAAACAATATCAACTAGATATTCGTTTAATAGAGTTATTTATTCATTTAGGAAGTTGAAAAGAAAGTTTTGTATTACATTAAATTTGAAGAAAAAAGAGAAATGATGAATTTCTTTTCCCAATCCCATGAAATGTTGAGTGATAATGTAATTTGTAAATCTAAGTGTAACTGTAAGGAACACTGGGAATTTTTATGCTAATAGTAATACTTCTTAATATTAGTATTTCTGGTTACTAACTGAGTAATATAATTATTATTACAGCTTGCTTAGTAACACTAACAGTTAGACCTGGTGAGACATTACTGAGGGTTTCATCACATAACCTAGGAACTTGAAAACAAAGTATTTTTTCTTAATGTCCAGGTCAATTGACTGTTATCACTTTACTTAGGAAAATTATAAAACATATAAAATTTGATACTTAAGATACTAAAATTAAATTTGTAATTTGGATGTGACAGTTAAGACAATTAAGAGCTTTTGTTTTGGTACTTGGATTTTTCTGAAAATGTCAGAGGTAATAGTTACTATATGCATGATCCTCATGTTGCAGATGTTATTGAGATGGCTATATACTAATGTCTATTAATATACCACCATATGGGCTACATGACAAATAGGTTTCATACCAGGACTTCAAAATTTTCATTCAAGCACTGTATAAACTGAAAGACATACAGT